CTACTATTTTGCTATATGATACGAATCCCCTCTTCTATAACTTAGTCATATCCGGGTAACTCCTTCTGGAATTACAGGAACCAAAGACGATAGGCGGAACATCGGAATGTTAAAACTGTTTCTAAAATTCTAATACACATACAAAGCCTAGAAAATCTCTTCCCAATCCCTTTAAGAACAAAAAGTTTAAAATTTTTATATACGAAATAGGACTATTTCTATCTGACGTGTTATCTTCAGATCTAAAGTATGTCATTTGGTTATACTCCAGACAGAGTTCGTCTCCATAATTAGGTCAAAGTTAATCAGAAAGATTATGAAACTTTCATTATCTAATATTCGTTATCATAATTCAACTTAACGGGATGGTTCACTATCCGTTTGATCAATCGTTCCCTAGTCTCAGAAACGAGTCCACCATCGAAATTTGAGCTCTAGTTTCAGAAACGGGTCTACCATCGAAATTTGAGCTCTAGTTTCAGAAACGGATCCACCATAGAAATTTGAGCTCTAGTTTCAGAAACGGGTCCACCATCGAAATTTGAGCTCTAGTTTCAGAAACGGGTTCACCATCGAAATTTGAGCTCTAGTTTCAGAAACGGGTTCACCATCGAAATTTGAGCTCTAGTTTCAGAAACGGGTCCACCATCGAAATTTGAGCTCTAGTTTCAGAAACGGGTCCACCATCGAAATTTGAGCTCTAGTTTCAGAAACGGGTCCACCATCGAAATTTGAGCTCTAGTTTCAGAAACGGGTCCACCATCGAAATTTGAGCTCTAGTTTCAGAAACGGGTCCACCATCGAAATTTGAGCTCTAGTTTCAGAAACGGATCCACCATCGAAATTTGAGCTCTCGTTTCAGAAACGGGTCCACCATCGAAATTTGAGCTCTAGTTTCAGAAACGGGTCCACCATCGAAATTTGACTTCAAATTAATGTGTATCTAGAATTGCCCGTATTCGAAAGCTAAAATAACGACTCTTCCATATCTAGAAACAATATAGCATAGAAGTAGGAAGTGAAATTTAAAGTTTGAGGTATATTTGAAGGAATTATGCGATTTTCGTGTATTTCTAATACTTCTGAAGACTATTTATAAACTTTTTATGTGTACTAGGGACAACAATAGCATCGATTCGCAATATTCCAATTTTCAGTCAGACGTCTGTGGTTGAAAAATGAGAAATCAAATTATGTTCTATCAAGTACATGTGAACCCGTGATACAGAGTCCATTATGATTGCAGTTTAAAATAAATGAACGTTCAATGAACTTCTAAACTAAATCTTATATAAGTAATATAAACGTCCTTGATAGTTGTTGTTTAAAGAGTTTAAAATTTCACGTATACTTGACGACAGGGAAAACACACTGTAATATATGCTGTTAAAATAGTTCAAGGTTTACAATTGTTTTGGACATGACACTGCAGCATTCCAGTAGTTTGTAGATTGTGTCACGACAGCAGTAAGCCACCATTGATAGAACAGGTTGACTCTTTGTTTGGTTGATATATTGGGCTATTGCATCACGACAGCAGTAAGACATTATTCATCTCAAACATAGTAATATCCGGAGAACAAGAAGTATTTCTCTCATTCTTTGTACAATATTTTGTGGAAAATTGTTGGCCTCCAAATCGACTTGGATTCTCAGTGATAATAAGGAGAGAAACAACTATATTTTACACGGATAGCAACTTAGGTTCACGGGATTAACCAGATGGTCCTTGGCCAAACCTCTAAGTATTGAAGGGATTATCCGTACCCATTTCACCGGATTCAACTTAAATAATGACCAAAATTACTTAAGGTCCTCAGACTAAGACCCACGACCACTTCAGATGGGGATGGAGTTGGTTGGACTTAACAGTGCCTAAACAATACCGAACAATGATTTAATTGATACATATAAACTGCAATTATTATTGTTTAAAAAAAAATGATTGTGGTATCCAAAAAAAACGAAATTATGTCGGAAACAAAACGCAATTATTTGATAAATTTAGAATATGTACCAAGATAAGTCATCTAATTTTATAAACTGACGTAGGTAAACCACTAACCCATATAAACAAACTGCATGTATTGAGATAAAGTAAATATTTAGATAACTATAAAGATAGCTGAAATTGGGTTCTATCAGCTGGTAAAGTAAATATTTAGATGACTATACAGATAGCTGAGATTGAGTTCTATCAACTGGTAAAGTAAATAGTTAGATGACTATACAGATAGCTGAAATTAAGCTCTATCAGCTGGTAAAGTAAATATTTAGATGACTATATAGATAGCTGAAATTGGGTTCTATCAGCTGGTAAAGTAAATATTTAGATGACTATATAGATAGCAGATATTGAGCTCTATCAGCAGGTAAAGTAAATATTTAGATGACTATACAGATAGCTGAAATTGAGCTTTATCAGCTGGTAAAGTAAATATTTAGATGACTATATAGATAGCTGAAATTGAGCTTTATCAGCTGGTAAAGTAAATATCTAGATGACTATATAGATAGCTGAAATTGAGCTCTATCAACTGCTAAAGTAAATATTTAGATGACTATATAGATAGCTGAAATTGAGCTTTATCAGCTGGTAAAGTAAATATTTAGATGACTATATAGATAGCTGAAATTGAGCTTTATCAGCTGGTAAAGTAAATATCTAGATGACTATATAGATAGCAGATATTGAGCTCTATCAGCAGGTAAAGTAAATATTTAGATGACTATACAGATAGCTGAAATTGAGCTCTATCAGCTGGTAAAGTAAATATTTAGATGACTATACAGATAGCTGAAATTGAGTTCTATCAGCTGGTAAAGTAAATATTTAGATGTCTATACAGATAGCTGAGATAGAGCTTTATCAGCTGGTAAAGTAAATATTTAGATGACTATATAGACAGCTGAAATTGAGCTCTATCAGCTGGTAAAGTAAATATTTAGATGACTATACAGATAGCTGAAATTGAGTTCTATCAGCTGGTAAAGTAAATATTTAGATGTCTATACAGATAGCTGAGATAGAGCTTTATCAGCTGGTAAAGTAAATATTTAGATGACTATATAGATAGCTGAAATTGAGTTCTATCAACTGGTAAAGTAAATATTTAGATGTCTATACAGATAGCTGAGATAGAGCTTTATCAGCTGGTAAAGTAAATATTTAGATGACTATATAGACAGCTGAAATTGAGCTCTATCAGCTGGTAAAGTAAATATTTAGATGGCTATACAGATAGCTGAAATAGAGTTCTATCAGCTGGTAAAGTAAATATTTAGATGTCTATACATATAGCTGAAATTGAGATCTATCAGCTGGTAAAGTAAACATTTAGATGACTGTACAGATAGCTGAAATTTAGCTCTGTCAGCTAGTAAAGTAAACATTTAGATGGCTATACAGATAGCTGAAATTTAGCTCTGTCAGCTAGTAAAGTAAATATTTAGATGACTATACAGATGGCTGAAATTGTGTTCTATCAGCTGGTAAAGAAAAGATTTAGATGACTATATAGACAACTGAAATCGAGTTCTATCAGCTGGTAAAGTAAATATTTAGACAGCTATACATAAAGCTGAAATTGAGATCTATCAGCTAGTAAAGTAAATATTTAGATGACTATACAGATAGCTGAAATGGAGCTCTATCAGCTGGTAAAGTAAATATTTAGATCACTGCATAGATAGCTGAAATTTAGCTCTATCAGCTGGTAAAGTAAATATTAAGATATCTATACAAATAGCTGAAATTGAGCTCTATCAGCTGGCAAAGTAAATATTTGGATGGCTATACAGATAGCTGCAATTTAGCTCTGTCAGCTAGTAAAGTAAATATTTAGATGACTATACAGATAGCTGCAATTTAGCTCTGTCAGCTAGTAAAGTAAATATTTAGATGACTATACAGATGGCTGAAATTGTGTTCTATCAGCTGGTAAAGTAAATATTTAGATGACTATACAAATAGCTGAAATTGAGCTCTATCAGCTGGTAAAGTAAATATTTAGATGACTATACAGATAGCTGAAATTGAGCTCTATCAGCTGGTAAAGTAAATATTTAGATGACTATACAGATAGCTGAAATTGAGTTCTATCAGCTTGTAAAGTAAATATTAAGACAGATATACAGGTAGCTGAAATTGTGTTCTATCAGCTGGTAAAGAAAAGATTTAGATGACTATATAGACAGCTGAAATTGAGTTCTATCAGCTGGTAAAGTAAATATTTAGACAGCTATACATAAAGCTGAAATTGAGATCTATCAGCTAGTAAAGTAAATATTTAGATGACTATACAGATAGCTGAAATTGAGCTCTATCAGCTGGTAAAGTAAATATTTAGATCACTGCATAGATAGCTGAAATTTAGCTCTATCAGCTGGTAAAGTAAATATTAAGATGACTATACAGATAGCTGAAATTGAGCTCTATCAGCTGGTAAAGTAAACATTTAGATGACTATATAGATAGCTGAAATTGAGCCCTACCATCCGGTAAAGTAAATATTAAGATGACTATACAGATAGCTGAAATTGAGCTCTATCAGCTGGTAAAGTAAACATTTAGATGACTATATAGATAGCTGAAATTGAGCCCTACCATCCGGTAAAGTAAATATTAAGATGACTATACAGATAGCTGAAATTGAGCTCTATCAGCTGGTAAAGTAAATATTTAGATGTCTATACATATAGCTGAAATTGAGATCTATCAGCTGGTAAAGTAAACATTTAGATGACTATACAGATAGCTGAAATTGAGCTCTATCAGCTAGTAAAGTAAATATTTAGATGACTATACAGATAGCTGAAATTTAGTTCTATCAGCTGGTAAAGTAAATATTTAGATGACTATACAGATAGCTGAAATTGAGCTCTATCAGCTGGTAAAGTAAATATTAAACCTTTTGCAACCTAAAACTGATGTTACACTCGTTGTTTTCATTTAAGTCAATATTTTCTATTTGTTTCAGATGTCGATATAAGAAACCAGAATGCGGGGCGATCAGTATCAACTCGAGACCATACCTGAGACCAAGGAGATTCAGGAGGGGAAAGGAAAATATAACCAGCATCTAAAACAAAACAGCAAACAGGAGCCTGTCCAGTTACTAAAACAAAATGGTGTACACGAGCCTGGTGTCGTAGCTAGGTATGACGTCGAAGATCCGGAAACGCAATGTGGTATGGGATCGTGTAAACCGGAAGGACTTCAGTCATGTGCTTCTATGAAGCTTTTCGTGTTCTTTTTCAGTATTATGTCGATTTTTACCCAATCTAATACTGTCTACCTGTCTTCTCAAATCACGTCAGTTGAAAAACAGTTTAAACTAAGCAGTACATACTCAGGGACGCTGTTGTCGTGCAACGAAATCGGACAATTGTCCGTGGTGCTTTTGATAAGTCATTTTGGCCACAATGGACACATTCCTAGAATCCTAGCAGGTCTATCCATATTATACAGTATTTCTATGATAACTACAGCAATTCCATACTTCGTAGCTCCGTACGAGCTTCCGACAGATCCAGAAATATTCAACACGACGGAGCCCAGCGATAGCAGATACTGTTCAGCAATTAATAGCACATTAGAGGAAACGGGAGAGAACTCTTTCACGTCTAACGCCGGTATAATGTGGGCTCTGTACATCATCGGTGCATCAATTGCCGTTCAAGGACTGGGAAAAGCACCGAAACGATCCTTGACCATTACCTACGTGGACAATAATATCTCTGATAGAACCAAAACAGGAGTATATTTAGGTAAATAATCATTAGCCTATTTGATATTTTTTGCTTAGAAATAAAACGTTCATCTTTTCTGTACATTATTGTGATAATAAAGATGACAATCTCCCCGGTTGCTATGTAGTGCTGTTGAGTCCCTCCCGTTTAATATTGATCTCATTATTAATTGTTATGCTTGATAAAGATTCCTGTATGTGAATTGAAACGTTGCAAAATTAAATTAAAGGAGTAGTATATCCATAATAGTTGTCCTTGCTGAATGTTGTTCTGAGGTGTTTGTTAACATTAACAACATATCACAAATATTATCAACATTGTGCGTTTCAAAAACTCTTTTGTCAGCTCCAAGATGGCGAATGAGTTATCTACAGTCCCCACGAGATAGGTTTTGTTGACTAATGTCTGTATTTTTTATTTCTATCACCAGGTACAACTGTAGCAGCCAGTATCCTAGGACCATCATTTGCTATATTAATTGGATCTGCTATGAGTAGTCTACCAGTGGATCTCTCAGGTAAGATTATACAGCGGTCATTCAAAGCAGCTCACCGATTTTCAAAAAATAAAGTTTTATTTTAATCTTAGATGATATACTTTCAATACAGATACATTTGTCAAATCTCTGGACCCTTTCTTTAAGATACATATCGGTGAATCCAAATGACAGTGTTATATATTTATTTACAATTTCAGATACAAAGTTGTTGCCGACAGATCCACGATGGGTTGGTTGTTGGTGGTTGGGATTTGTGGCGTTTGGTTTAATTGGTACTTTCGTCAGCATTCCTGTATTGTTCTTCCCGAAGAGACTCGCGGAAGCTGCCCCTGTTCCTAAGAATGAACATGAGAAGAATGTTGATGCTGATAAAGAACCATCTTCAATCCTTGGTGTTCTAAAACGTTTGTATTTGGTTTATAATCTGTGTTCTGTTGTTTCTAATCGTTTTTGATCAATCATACGTCGTTTGTGGGCTCAATCATCCTCTGGAAACCAGGGAAAGTTTTGTTCCTATATCTGTTAATGCAAACACCACATAGTTATAAGTTATATTCTAGAGGGTGCAGTCTAATTAAAGACGTGATCCAATGTTGTACTATTGACTGTTTATAAAAACATTACATAACCCTGAGCTATGTAATATATAATATACCGTTGATATCGTTTCAGATCTACCTATGTCACTATTACGTGTATTCCGGAAACCAGTCTACGTATTTACCTTGATCTCTATCTGTTTCATCAATTTCTCTGTCACCGGAATCATTTTCTTCGGACCCAAATATCTCCAAACACAGTTCTATTTACCAGCTTGGAAGGCAAATTTAATCCACGGTTAGTAACTGCAAAGATTTTTAGTGGTGAGAGTTGCGTTCTAAACTTACGCTAGCTATTTTTTATTCGCAAAAATGCGCAACTGGTGATCACTATGTGTAATGTAATTTATATTGCTTCATTCATGACCTGTTATTGTAGTTACCTCCCTTTAATTCGACAAAAGTTTAGAAATTCGTTTTACATGTGTTGACTTTGTAATTTGTGTTTTGCACTTCATGAGACAGCACTCAGGTGTGGCTCTCCTGTGGAAAGAATCACCCTCCTCTTCGACCCCTACCAAAGTTATGTATGTATTTGATTTGGAAGCATTCCGTTCAGCTCCGTCGGCCTTCTTCCGTGACATGAAGGATTAAACCAACATCAAACCACACTGTACAAACCACACTGTGGTGGCAGAATTTAATCATTGTACACTCGTAGAAGTAGAATCTTCCATTTCATGTTCATCTATTTGAACTTTCCCCGATTACTTGCCGATGCTTCTTCGTTTTATAATGTACTATTGAATGAACTATCTTGCATTATTTCAGGTTCTTCCCATATTGTAACTGCAGTCATTGGAACCTTCACTGGTGGTTGGATCACTTCTAAATTTAAAATGGGCAGATTGAAATGTCTGAAGTTTTTACTATTGGTAACCTCTCTGTCCTGTCTGTGTACAGTAGCTACTATATTTACTGGATGTCGAGACCAGTCAGTCGTAGGTCTGGATACTAATCTGTGAGTATAGGCTTTCATGGGTTGGGGTGGGTGTGAGGGGCTGGACGGGTGTAGAATAGGCCTGCGCGGGTGTGAGGGGGTGGACGGGTGTAGTATAGCCCTTTATAGGATTGGGAGCTATACACTGCATTTGATTGCTAGGACGGTAGAGATATGGTATTGGCGTGTCTTTGAATCATAAAGTGGGAAGGTGGGTCACAGAATTGGCAAGGGGGAATCACAGGACCCTTTTTCCCTACTACAGCTACAAGTCTTAACCACTGATAGTAAATACATGTCAGATGAGAAAGATCAATGCCGAAAAGCTTGACCAAACCCAGCTGGTTGAAAGGATTCTCGTGAACCTTAGTTGCTACTCTTTCCATCGACCAAGCTGTAAATGGTACGGAGAATCTGAGAAATATCAATGCTGCAATGCTTGATAAAAAACCTATATGGATTATTATTCTTTCGGACCTTTTTGTGGATAATGTGGGAAATATCAATGCTGAAAGGCTGGAACCTGGACCTACAGGTAGATAGTAGAAATAACTGTGAAATTTGACATGTTATAGGGTTATACAGACGATTGAAACAGACAAACCATGCTACTGTGACCAGAAAGAATTTTTCCCAGTTTGTAGCGAGGCACAGCAAACCTACCTTAACCCTTGTGTTGCCGAATGCTGGAACAAGACAGACACGGTGAGTTGGGTTTAGGATCTTTTTGGTAAATGTCCATAGATTTTCAGAGAATGCAACAATCTAAAGCCCGATAGACCGAACAAACCCCAATCTACATCATTGAAATTCCCCGACCCACTCATTGCGATCCGCGTAATTTCGCCGTTTTATATTTAGGTCTTTCATTAATAATGTATAGCCTTCTCGACGATTGGGTGCCAATGGTTAGAATCGTCTTCAAGATTCCTAAGGCGTGAAAATAGTTTACATGTTGCAACTTTAAAAAAAATAAAATTTAAAGCACAATTTGACCATTTTAGAGTTATGGCGACTGTAAACAACTGAATGGTGGTAGTGTCCAGATTGGAATATGTGATATAGATTGTCACCTCATGTTCTATCTCTTCCTGTTATTCTCTCTATCCCAGGGGTTACTAGGAACTCAGGGCATCATGCCTAATCTTCTGGTTATTGTAAGGTAAGCCATTGATTTCAATATCTCGATTGCCTTTTTATACGCCCACACGTAAGATGGGCGTATATTGTAATCACCCCGTCGGTCCGTCGGTCCGTCCGTCCGGCCGTTCACATTTGGCTCGTGCTCACTCTACAGGCTACAGTTCTTTATGGATTCTTTTGATTTTTATTTTGTATGTCAATGTTGTTATGAAGATGATCCCTATTGATTTTCGTGATGATCGGATAATTTTTCACCGAAATATCGTGTCTGACTTGACGTTTTTCTCTATTAGCTATATTGTGCAACTCGTGCTCACTCTACAGGCTACAATTTTTTACAGATTCTTTTGATTTTTATTTTGTGTGTCAATGTCATTATGAAGATGATCCCTATTGATTTTCGTGATGATCGGAAAATTTTTCACCGAAATATCGTGTCTGACCTGACGTTTTACTCTATTAGCTATATTGTGCAACTCGTGCTCACTCTACAGGCTACAATTGTTTACAGATTCTTTTGATTTTTATTTTGTATGTCTATGTCGTTATGAAGATGATCCCTATCGATTTTCGCGATGATCGGATAATATTTCACCGAAATATCGTGTCTGACTTGACGTTTCACTCTATTAGCTATATTGTGCAACCCTGTAGTCACTAAAGACTGTTTAATCATTTCTGACAGCTGCCAGTGGGCGTATGTTACCTTGCCTGGCAAGCTATCTTTCTTTTTTGACGTACTTTTGTTGATCTGTTACACCGTTCCAGTAAGGTAGGTCGGAGGGGCTGACATGGAAAAATCGGAATGAACCGAGGAACCGTGTGCAGACAGCGACAATAAAAACCTCGGCAGACAAATATTGTTTTTCGCAAACTCGTGATCATTAATCCATGAAATGTTGTAAAATATTTTTCTATTGTTTACGTTGTAGGTCTGTTGATGAGCGAGACAAGTCGATGGCGGTGGGTGTCATGGTCTTTGTCACATCCTTATTAGGTAAAATTTCGCTTATTCTAAAACTTTCTTAGCTTTAAGCATTCTGAAAAACATATATATTTCATAAAAGAAGGACTCAAAACAATGAAAGAGCTTAACCTCCACACCACGACTACTCAACATATTAAAGAAGATATCAAGTGATGTAATTGTGGGCAATTGGTCCATGCCCCCTTCAGGCCCGTAAAATTTCGATGGGCACTTCATGAGTTTTTCCATCTTTCATCTTTTTCTCATTTAACGGCAGAAATGGAAAAGATTAGTAACCTGGATTAGTGTATTTTTGTTTTGTTTCGTTTCAGGATGGTTGCCAGCGCCAATAGTATACGGAGCCGTACTGGATGGTACTTGTAGGTTGTGGGAGAATACTCTAGGGGGCGAGAAGGGCTCGTGCCAAATGTACTTCTTGGAGGATTTACGGTACCGATTCTTAGGACTTGAATCTTGTTTAAAATTCGTCAGCTTCCTGATTTTTATTCTCGTCTTTTTTATTTGTCGAAGGCAAGAGAGGAAAGCAGATTTAAAAACTCAGGCGTCGAACACTAAAATGTAAATAAAATAAATCTACGCACTACGCTGAGACCCTCGAAGGAACAGAGGAAGGGGATATTGAAAAACGGAAATGAAAAGGTTAACGAGCAAGCATCACACTCTTAAGAAGTATAGGGGGAGCCTTAAATGTTATGGGATTTGAAAAATAGCTTGGGGAAGGGGTCATACCCCAAGATCCCCCCTCCCCCCTGGCTCCGGCCCCTCCACCAATGATTATAGAATGTATTCAGTTTTTAAAGCATAATATATTCACTTTTTTGCACAGAACAGAAATATAAATGTACCTTTTTTATATGTCAATAAATTTTCTTTATTAATGAAATGGAGTGTTGAATATGCGTCTTGATACTGAACACCTTACTGGTTAGAACACTATACAGTTGTCAGTTCGGCTGAAATAAAAAAATTCTGTAATGGGTTAAAAATAAAATATATTTCTGCTGCAGATTGGACGAATACTAGCAACGCCATGCAGTGTACAATAGTGACTGGTTGTCAGTTATGATTGCCTATTAGGGCTCTACTATATGAAAATTACTAAGATCTTTAATGTAGACGGCTACTTAGTACCGGGCTTCTATAATCATCCGACAGCCTCCGACAGTCCGATATATCGTCAAGCATTAAATTGACGTAGAGAAATGATCTCAAAGAAAATAACCCAATTAGGCCCACATCCCCAACTCAACTCTAGTTGGACTACTGAATGAAGGAAATTGGCCTCATACACGGACATAACCTGTTATAGGCTACTGCTAAGAAATCTGTTCACCCTAGTCGATAAAGAATTTCGTACTTCGTCTCCTTGTAAAGTTTTAAACTGTTTTGTGTTCAAGCTGTTTTTTCCGGTAGTCACTGATCAATAATGATTTGTTAATCTTCCTTTTGTTTCAAACATCAAAACAACCAGCTTCAAAAGATAAATATATCTGGACCTCACAATAGTCTCGTTATCGATTTTACCAGAACAGTTCTTTATATAAAGTTTATATCAACGAGTGAAGTATATATAAAGATTATAAAACATGCTATTTGTACAAGTGTTTTGTTTTTGCATAGCATCACAGTAGAATCCAACCATTCTTGCTATATATTATATTTACTACAATCTTAAGTGCAACTTTGTACACCTCAAAGAGTTCAAAAACTATAATCGAACCTTTAAAGGGATGTTCACAATGTGTATTGGGGACACTGATAACATTAATTTAGACCATACCAATTTCCAATCAGACGTCTGTGGGTCTTGGAATTCCACTCAGTGTTTTAATTTAATTACGGTTACGAATTATCGATAATGATAGGAACGACAAACGTCGTGAATTATAGCTGCAAATAGGAGCAATAAATAAACGCGATATACATCAACAGTTCAGAAACCACGGTACAATTCCTTTACCACCAATTCCCCCACCCACCCATCTCCATTCCAAACAACAAAAATGAGACACAGTCCACTAACAACTTGCTAAACTTTTAAGGTCAATAACCGACTCGATGATATCGGTCATATTGACGTGCTATAATAAAGTTTAAAATTCAGAAAAAAAAAACCATCCTTCAAAATTTAAATATCAATTTCAAGGATTCCAGACCATTGTCCTTTAAACAAAATAAGTTTTTTTTTACCATGGCGACTAATCCTGGTTTAACCGATTTAAATCATTGTTTTCTTTTAAAAATAAACCTGGAAACCGATTCCCGACATTGGACTCTGTGAGAAGTCTTGGAACAGGTGTGTTTATTACAGTGATACAGGTAAAATACGAGATCTGTTAACTGTAAATAGACAGTACTGTGTCGGTATACTCAAGACGGTTGGACAACTTTCCTTTCTTACAACTGTGAATAGATGGGTAATATTTGTTAAAGGGATTGTAAAGATGTGTATCGGAGACACTGATAGTAACACTTTGCATCATTCCAATTTTCATTCAGATATATGTCGTCATAATCAACAGAATTATAGCTTTGTTGAATTTGATATAACTTAATAACTTCCATTATATTTTTTTCGGTGGGTGGAGAATTGTATAGACATTTCATTGATTAACGCAACATGTCATTTTTGTTGTTAATGATGGTATAAAAAATACGCCACCTCACGACGTGCTGATGGTAATGGGCACTTTTGATAATATTTTGATTGAATTTGATTGATTTTGATTGATTTTGATTTGATTGGAATGTACACTAGAGAATATATTATATACATTCTGATCGACTGTACAATCCTATCAACTGTCTGCATTTAAAATCTTCTGTGATACAAGAGAGATGATTATTGAAGTCAAGGTTTAAGACGAAGTTCGTTATAGCTTGGCATTGTGAAGATTAGTCGAGGTATAAGACAATGTTCGTAATAGCTTGACAGTGTAAGGATGAGAGTCGAGGTATAAGACGATGTTCGTAATAGCTTGACAGTGTAAGGATGAGAGTCGAGGTATAAGACGATGTTCGTAATAGCTAGACAGTTTAATGATGAGAGTCGAGGTATGTTCGTAATAGTTTGACATTGTGAAGATTAGTCGAGGTATAAGACGATGTTCGTAATAGTTTGACATTGTAAAGATGAGAGTCGAGGTATAAGACGATGTTCGTAATAGTTTGACATTGTGAAGATTAGTTGAGGTATAAGACGAAGTTCGTAATAGTTTGACATTGTGAATATGTCATAGTTGATGACTATGTATTTCTATTTATTATACAGTAACAGAAGACAGATATTCTCGTGGTTTTGGTAGTTCCAGATATTAGAATGAATCTCTATGCTGTCACCTTTATTATTTTTACAATTCTTCAATGTAAGTGTTTTCTCAGATAAAAAAAAGTATTATATTAAAGGAAGTACATTTAATTAATAATGTCATGTGTTTGTAATTAAAATTAGACCGAACTTTCGTTCCGTTTTTTATATTTAATATAGCCATTTCAGTTAGAGCCCTCTTGAAGGTTCGTCAAATTAACCTTCTGACCTTACCCGATAAACAATGCGTTACAAAATGCCAGAGAAATGAATGGAGTTTTACGTCCTATTTTTCTGCACTTTCTTGGCTAATGAAGACTGGCAACGACATGCAGGGTATAATGAGGGAAATTTTTCCAGGACAATGGCACTACTCTGTTTCGATTTCTAACTGTCGATGGATCTTTAACGTGCACAGCCTGTAGCACAAAGGGCCTCGGTTTGACTGGTTAAAGCAGATGTCATCGAGGTCAAAAGGTTGATTTGACGAACGTTCAAGGAGGCTGTCTTTAGACGCTAGGAGAAGTGGTTATCTTGAAAATAAAAGCTAATAAATAAACAGAACGAAAGTGTGATATGTCAGAATGTAATGTATAATATGTTTTAGGTACAAGTGGCAAGACTCAGAGATCACCAAGAGAAAATGGACAGTATCCTCCACCGACAACCATGAAATCTGATGAACCTATGTCAACTTCAAAATACCCGAGAGGTTCGGATGAAGGATCACGAACTACTTCAAAATACTCGGGAGGTTCAAAGGAGGGACCTATGTCGACATCTAAATACCCGGGAGGTTCGGACGAAGGCTCAAGACCCACATCAACATTTTCAGGGAATTACGATGGAGGGAAAGAAACTAACTCGAACCCAGGAGGCGATGGCCATCCAACAACCAAAGGGGGTTACGGCTATTCAACTGACAACGCGTCAAAATCGAAACCACAGAATCCAGACAAAACTACGACCAGTTCAGAAAATC